CTGATAGGTGTGCACTCAGTGCACATGCCTACAGAGAAGGTCATGCAATTGACTTTGATTTAGTCAAAATTTTAACCAAAGTAAAGAATGTTCCACAGTCACAAAATTGCTTAGATAAAAAAAACTTACGTCAATCATTTAAGTGATATTTATTCATATTTACTCCTAACTGATAAAAATTGTGATATTCTAGAAGATAACTCATTTGATCTTACTTAACCCTTCGGTAGACGCAGTAACATTTCACACAGCAATAGTCGCACACGGTCCACAAGACCAGTGAATAATATATATTTATTTTCGAATTTTTCAATTAATATTGTTTTATCATAATTTTTTCCACAACATTTTTTTGTTACTATTCAACAGTTCATTTAGATATTGATTTCCTGCAAAAGTAGAAAAATGAACGACTTTTTGATCACTATTTATTTCATTCCTACGACATAATTTTCAGGAAAAAAAACGAACATATAATTCTGAAATATACTGAAATCGACACCAATAGAAAATTATTCAACTGCATTATACATGTGAAGTTAGAGGAAGTGTGTAAAATTACATGTTAAATTTAGGTATATATGTTATTTGTGGCAATCCTCACATATCGGGATGACATGCTCTAAACATACATATTTTTTACATAACGCACAGAAATATTTTGTTTTACGATTTTTTTTCAACTACAATAGCTACATCTCCCAAATTCTCCTGGATTTCTTTGAACGGGTACTGAATCATCATCCAAATGGCATATCTCTTTCAAGCGCATCCTTATTGTCCTTGGAATATTTGCATTCATACTTCGGCATTTCTGATGGTTATACATAAGACTGAAAGACAACTCTGTCAGAAATTGTCTTCTTGTTTTTGTAGAGTTTGTCAGATTACTGTTATATATTACGAAAGAATTGATTCCTGTTACATTCAGTATACTATAAAAAATAACCATTGGCCATCTTCTACTACAACGTGCCACATTNATTCAGAAGGCCCCGTCGCTCGGTTGAGTGAAGGCCCCACGACATCTGTTAAAATGAACAGTTTGTTCATCAATACCCCAGTCAGGAAAAGGTACACAAGGCCAGAGGGGCATAGATGTCATTGACCTTTATGCCGCCACCAAAACACTCTTAGTTATGAACCACTCGTCCTCCTGACGAGAGACAGTTGAAAGGGTACGGGAAGAGTTTCCATCCTGATTAAAATGAAGATGACTATCGACACTGATCTATCATCCCATAAATGGAAGGTATTCTGCCGGAGAGTTCCGTACACGCCCGATAACATTTCCGAAATACCGATTATAATCCTGTCCGGTCCACTGGACCAGCTGCGTCTACTGAAGGGTTAATCAATACAATCCTTCCTCTTGCATTAAAACTCCATAAAAAATACTTAGACATTTTAACTCCAAAAAATCACTCCTTCAAGACATCTACAATTGTAGTTTGACTAAATTTGCCCCAGCAGCTTGTGCTGCTGGGGCAAACGTTTTCTTTCTAACCTAGTTGAGTTTCACATGGTTCATACATAAAATAATTTCAAATATCTTTTTGAACTGATGACTCACTGATGATGACAATATCCATTGTCGGAAATGTAATGTTATAAGAATACACCTAGGTGTACATTTTCAGTACCTTTGAGATATCTGAAAATACGCTCGACAGCATTCCAGTGGTCCTTTTCTGGATTAGACAGGAATCGACTCACTTTTGGAGTTGAAATGTCAAAGTATGTTTCATGGAGTTTAAATGCAAGAGGAAGGATTGTATTGATTAAGTGAGATCAAATGAGTTATCTTCTAGAATATCCCAATTTTTATCAGTTAGGAGTAAATATGAATAAGTTTCACTTAAATAATTGACGTCTGTTTTTTTATCTGAGCAATTTTGTGACTGTGAAACATTCTTTTCTTCAGCTAAAATTTTGACTGAATGGAAGTCAATTGCATGACCTTCTCTGTAGGCATGTTCATAATCACTTTCATGTGAGGAAATACGGTCTTCAAAAGTCTGTCTGTTTGACCTACATATTCAACACCGCAATCAGAGCATGGAATACTGTAAATTAGTTTTGAATAATTATTTTTTGGAATTTTGTCTTTGACATTTGAAAAAATAGAGCTCATTTTCAAAACAGTTCTATTAGCAATTTTGATATTATCTATGTTTTTGAAAATACGTGAAAGTTTAGGAGTGATTAGTCATAAAGGACAGAGAGTGGAAATGGGTAAAATTATTGACAATTTGTAAATGATTTTCATCAATGTTAATATTGCTGTTATCAATATTTTCAAGAATGGGTGGATTTAATTGTTCTATAGGAGACATGCTGAATGAAATCTTATTCAATAGGGACAGTGGATATGAATTCTGAATGATGGGCCAAAACCTCGAAACACGTGTCTATGGTTTGCCAGTTTCAGCTATAGTTACCTGCGTAGCTACCTACCGGATCCAGAAAATAATACAAATACGAAGGTTATCGAGTGTCTTGATATAGATAAAGAAGTTATCAATCGGACATTGCACTCAAGAAAGTGGCAAACCATATACACGTGTTTCGAACTTTTGGGCCATCATCAGTATCGTGCAGTCAAGTGTAATGATGGGCAACACTTGGTTACCAGAAAAAAGAAATACAAATGCACGAAGCCACCAGCAGGAGCCAGCCGCACATTTGTAGTTTCAATTATTAGATCTTGTGTTCACAAAAAAACTATCAAAATCACCACGGAGGTAGCTATAGCTATCTGTGTGCCATTCGGGTCCAGGAAATAATACATATACGGAGGTTATCGAGTGTCTTGATATAGATAAAGAAGTTTTCGATCGGATATAGCACTCAAGAAAGTGGTAAACCATAGACAAGTGTTTCGGGTTTGACCCTTCATCAGTATGGTGCAGCCAAGTGTTGTAGGCAAGTGTTGGCTAGAACTTCGTGAAGTGCAGATGTGTGGTGTAGTGAGTGCTCGTGTTGGTGTATCTTAGGGGGCTGGTGTGTGTGTGTGTGTGTGTGTGTGTGTGTGTGTGTACTCTATGCAAACTAGTTTGTACAGAGTACACATGAAGGATTATTCTGAACCTACTTTTTACCGTGTATGCAAATTCCAATGTCAGTACGCCCTTCCTCTCCAATGCCAGTCACTGTCTAGATGTGCCCACAGATTTCTCATTAGTTGAAGGATCTTTTTAGTGTTCAGACATGTGTACTCTGTATAAGATAGTTTGTACTTAGTAAATATTAAGGATAATCTGTATTACCGTGTATGCGTCTCACCTATCCCGAAGTCAAACAATTATTATGACGTCACACACACACACACACACACACACACACACACACACACACACACACACACACACACACACACCAACACACTCAATGTCTCAGACAAAGAAAATATCTCTATGAATATATTTTCAGCTATGCATCAGACATATCGTTCAAAGTCAAAACTAATTATGCACCAGACATATTGTTCAAGGTCACCCTAATTACACCATTTATCATTAATTAGTCATCAATGGTGTCATAATGGTGGAGAGAGGCTTAGAAGCGGCGCAAATCTTTTATTCGTCTCAGAAATCAAAAAGTCCATTCTGTGGTACATTCTGTGCTACAAATTCAACAGAGTTACTCTACACAAATACAGTCTGCAATATTGTGGCATGATCGATTGGGATTTCAAATCAATTTATATTATATCAGACAATGGAGGTCCGAACTGATGAAATACACCACAAAACATTGTCAACCACCTTCAAACAAAAGGTCACAATTACTTTCGTTCACTGAAGGAAATGGCTGACAAAGGTCAAATACCAGATACGAGGATAAAAAGTTCAGATGGTCTATTCTGCAACAGTTGTCAATTCGGGAATTAACAGCGATATCCTTCCACGACAAGTCATCATGTTCCAGATTGAAGACTAGGAGAATACATTCAAACTGATGTCTGCGGCAAAATATCATATGTATCTCTGGGTGGTGCAAATTCATTATTTTCAAGGACGAGTGTACATCGTATCGCTTTGTATATTTTGTCAAACACAAAAGTTATATTTTCTCAAAATTTTTCGAATTCCAACAAATGATCAGAAGACAAACCAAAAATCAAATCAAGATCGTTAAAAGGGACAACGGGACAGAATATGTCAATCAATCATTCAAAGATCATTTCAATAACGAATTAATTATTCATGAAACTAGTGAAACAATAGCCATACACTCTTGAACAGAACGGGAAAGAAGAACGATATCTCAGATTTACGATATTTTGTAAAGAAGAAATATATACTTGTGGTGCACCGTTTGGAACTTTTGGTGTAGTAATGCATATTACTGGAGTTTTAACACGATACCAATCCGTTATTTCAACACCTCGACACGTGTTTCGATCACCAAGTAATCATCTTTAAGAGGGAAATTAAACTAAAAATACGTACAATATTATCCTTATTTATACCATAGATACCTCTTCTAGGTACCTGGGTCTTGAGTGTCTTATATCAATTTAAAAATCTCATTTCAACAAGTTATACAGTATACTAACAGGTATTGGTCCACCAGCGTTTACTTATTGCTACACTCTCATAGATGCCTGTTGTTGTTAACATGTCTAACTAATTCCAATTGACTCAAGTTGATGGAATGGTTTTGTTGCAAAATATGACGGCAACTGCCGATTTTTCTAGTCTTCCAAATTTTAAGTGTCCTAAGTGTTTCTCATATCTGATTTCAATAGATATTTTTGTCTGTCCATTATATTTTGCATCGCAGTCCTTACATTTAAGTAGTGTATATAAGAACTTTGAATGAAGTGAATTGAAAATTGAAAACTGCATTCGATAAATCCTATATGACGTACCTACAATATCATTTTTTCTATTGGCATACTATATACTACTTCTGCTACTGTAGTATTACTGTACTTATTATCATTTATAATCGATGAATTGAATTATGTTTACGAAAACAGTTTTTTTTTTCAGGTATCCATGTCTGCAAAATGTGGCTCACATCAGACGTCTTGTGCTGCACTGCCTCCATTTTGAATCTTTGTGCAATTGCTCTCGACAGGTTTTGGGCTATAACAGATCCTATAAACTATGCTCAAAAAAGGACAGTTAAACGAGTACTGGTTATGATAGCAGGCGTATGGGTGCTATCACTTTTGATCAGTTCACCTCCTTTGATTGGGTGGAATGACTGGCCATCATCTGATGTATTCGCAGAAAGACAAATTTGTATGCTCACAAAACGCCAAGGTTATGTGATTTATTCATCTTCTGGTTCCTTTTTTATACCTCTATTCATCATGACAATAGTTTATGTAGAAATATTCATTGCGACAAAACGAAGGCTGAGAGAAAGGTCCCAAGCAGCGAAAATTAACATATCTAAAAATATGAGTAAAATTAAAAACAAAGACGATCATCGCGATGGTGAAAGCGTCAGTAGCGAAACCAATCATAACGAATTCGAAGCGAATGGTAAATCTAGAGATAAATCTTTGAGAAAAGACAAATCGAGCGAATCTGATAAAAATACTCTTCAACCGATATTGACTCATGAAGATTCTCTAACTGATTTTGGAGACAACTCATCCTGCTCTCAAAGGAAAGACTCGAATCCCTCAAAATGTGAGAATAAGGGAATTTGTAGTTCAACCACTACCATAACGATCTCCAACTCGAAACCTAGTCCAAAAGTAATACTCAGTGATCCCAATAAAAAACCTGGATTTGTATATCAGTTCATAGAGGAAAAACAGAGAATATCACTTTCTAAAGAGAGACGAGCAGCAAGAACGCTTGGTATCATTATGGGTGTTTTTGTCGTATGCTGGTTACCCTTTTTCCTTATGTACGTGATAATTCCGTTCTGTCCGTCATGTTGTCCTTCAAGAGCATTAACGAATGTTATCACTTGGTTGGGTTATATCAACTCAGGACTCAATCCCGTCATATATACCATTTTCAATATGGACTTCAGAAGGGCTTTCAGAAAACTGTTAGGTCTTTCTCAAACCTAATACGTTTCATCTGGCATAAAAACATTTCTATAGAACCAAATATAAGCAGGTAGGTGAAAAATGATTCGAAAATATTCATTTGTATTCACTAGAGATACATTGGGTGAGGAATAGGTTCGAAAACTTCAAACTAGAAAAGAAATAGATCCGCTATAAAGCACTATTCAGACAGGTATTGTCTGTTTAACATCATTGAGGCACCAATTTAAATGGTGTTTGGAAACAGTGCTTGTTTTATATTTATTATACGCAAGAGTTTCCAGTTCTCTCTTGATTATGTTTGCACCAGTTGAACAGACTTTTACGAAATCACATCTTTCAGGTATCAAACAGAAACAATACTTTTTTTCTTTACTCACAAGAATTCAATCACTTTCACCTGTTAAGATGTCCGTGAACAAATTTTGCTGGTTGAATTTGACCTACTCTCTTTGAATTCCACCCACTCGTGATAATGCACCTGAGTGCCGCCATTTTCATTCCAGTGTAGCAGATGGTTACAAAGGCTGATTTATAATTACCACAATAACTTCTATAATATGGATGTCAAAGGAAAGTGTTTGATGAGCGGAATATAATAAGTGGTGTAACGTAATTATTTGTATTGTGAATTTCTATATTTTACAATTATTGACTTTTCCCATGCTGTAAAATCTCTGAAAATAAAACTGATTTGATTTGATTATGACTTGGATATGGTAGACCGTCGAAAATTGCGAAAATTTTGAAGAAATGTTTCTTGCACTCTCATAATATGAGTATGAAATGAGAGGCCTCTGAAAATAAGAAAGAATATAACATGGCTGCACTTTGAGTCTAATATGGAGAACCCTTCGAAATTGCGTAGCCATTATTAAATTGAGAGATTTTGATGTAGAGAATGCGAGAAATTGAATGACGCCACTGTATAATCAATAGAGCGGAATCCCAAAAGTTGCCAGACTATGTTTTTATGCACACTGATAATACATATATCATATCAAAAGATGAATACCAAAATGAAGAAGAACAAGTTGATCCATATACCAATTTGGAAAAGTTTAATTTTGGCAAAGTTTTGGGATGGTTCATTTAGTGTTCCAACAAATGATGAAGGGATCCGATATGCAATGATTACGCATTCAATGCGTGAAGCAGAAATTGGAATTGTCTGACCTGACATTATTATACAGTGCATTTCTTCAATGTCCTTCCTCCTTTTATCAAAAAAATAAAATTTGGCGTAATGAAATTAATGCATGAATACTTTAATTTGAAATGAAATTGACAGATGAAACATTCAAGATGGCGACTAGGCGCCATCTGGGAAAAAATATCAAATGGAAAGGGGGGTCTTGAAGCTCCTGACGCATGCTTTACAACCCTACAATATGAAGTCAATATCTTCACTCACTATAAAATGGCGAAAAATTTAATAATTTTACGAAGAAAAACACGTTAATATCGATATTTCTAGAAATATTTCATTTTATCTGCCATATGGCGATTCCAACAACACGATAAGGCTTGATAAGTTATTTATTGTTCATAAAAATGACAAAAAATGTCAGTATGACAATGAACATCATTGTTCAGTTGAAATATTCTCATTTAGTTTTCTATTTTGCTAGTAGGAAGATACTACGTCAACAATCTCTAAAATGGTCAATTCTCGTCCATTGAAAGAAAAAATTTAAGCGACATTTGTTTACGGTGCGACGCGTAACTTTCACGAGAGCGAAAGGAATTTTAATGAACGTTTTCCGAATTGTCCTATCTGCAGAAAATATTTGAGGAAACTTGTATCCAAATTCACAACAGCCGGTAGTGTACATAACAAAAAGTTCCCAGGTCATCGGTCCATTCCGGAAGAACAGCACGTGCAAATAATAATTTGTGAGATGATAGTAAATCCTGAAAAGTCTACTCATTCCGTCGCGAATATTTGTGAGGTGCCGCCTTCTACTGTGTGGAGACTTTTGAAGAGGACTGGGTATCATCCATACAAAATTAAAATGGTACACCAATTAACGAAGATGACCCTGATCGAAAAACAGAATTCTGCGAAATCATGATGGAAACCATTGCAAGGCATTCTACCTATCTCCAATGACGAATGTACAATTTTTTTCAAATGGCTATATTCACAGATAAAATGCCGTTATTGGAGTGACACTAACTCTCACGTTTTCCGGCAAACACATAACCAATATCAAGAAAAAATTAAAGTTTGGGCAGGAATATTGGAAAACTATATTGAAGGACCTCTATTTATTGATTGAAAGTTAACAGGGGAATATGCTGGAAACTACTGTTGATCCTCTCATCACTGAAATCGTCGAAGCGAATACTAATGATTTCGATAAGGATCTTGTATTCCAACAAGATGGAGCAACACCACATCACTCCAGACAAGTAAGGAACTATTTGGATACTACTTTTCCCGGTCGTTGGATTAGCCGTCGAGGTCTACAGAATGACCAGCCTGCTCTCCAGATTTGACACCTTTGAACTTTTTAATGAGGCCATTTGAAGCAAAATGTTTACAAAACTGAACCTGCGTCATTATTGGACACATGACAGAAAATAATGAATATTTGTAGAGATAGTGACGTTACTGTGTTCGAAAATGTTCGGCGTGAAATATCAAATAGGCTGTTCATATGTCAAGAAGTTCAAAGCAACCATTTCGAGCCTCTTCTGAACTGATCTCAAGCTTATCAACTCATATTATGTAGTTAAATGTCAATGAATTCAGGCAATTATTAAAAGTTTCGCCACTTTGTAGTAGTTGAAGATATTGACATTATATTCTAGTACCCATATATTAATTTCATTATCTCAAATTTCAATTTTTTCAGTTGACCCATTCAAAAAATAAAAAGGGGTGGGGGACATTGAAGAAATGCACTGTATTCGGTTCGGAGACATTTATCTTTTTGGAGAAAACCAATGCCTGTGTTGGCATTGAATCAAACCTCATTATTTCCACTCCAACTCAAAATTACTTTTAGGTCCTCAGCAAGATATGCAACCTCCTGCTGCCGGTGAATATGTACATCCACCGACGAAGTCCTGGAATCCAAATGGAATGACGAAACAAGTGTTCTATCTGCAAAGCAATATACTGGATTCTTTTAATTGAAGGAGTTATATTTTCAGGAGTAATTAATTTTTGGGAAAGAAAGTTTTTGGCTTTCTACTACTCCATCTCGATACAAAAAAAGATGAGGTATTCTTGTTTTTCCCAATGCATCTTTGATATATAACAGAGGTTTGGAGACAATATAGATCCCTGGTAACACCAACATTGATGGTTGAAGTATTCGAAATGTATGCATCGACAGCCACTTGCAGGAAACGTTCTTTCGGAAAGCTGAAGCGCCTTAAACAAAAATTATTCGACAAGCCATACTTTCGAAGTTTGAGCAGTGTACCCTCATGCCACATACGGTCAAAGGCCCTGGAAATATCAAGCACTACAGCTCTTGACTCTCCATGTTTCTCGATTACGTTATTCCAAATATTGTCGCCTGTTGGCCTCTGTTTCCAAAAAGCAAATTGATGATCGCTCAAGATGTTGAAGCCTACCAAATATTGAATGATATGCTGGTTTGCGGCTTTCTTCATGATTTTTGATATCATTGGTAGTAAAGCGACTGGTCTATAGTTGTTTGGAAGATGTTTCTTTATCTTTTTGGGAATAGGCTGAATGCAAGCAATTTTCCAACAAGAAGAAAAAGCCAGTAGATGAATAACACCGGTTCTGGCTCACTTCAAGGTTCCGCGTTTTTGCTAAGTGTTTCAGAGAAAAACTTTAGTGAGTGGAAGAAAGAAACGTTTGACGTAATCGATGCCTCACCTCTCGAGCCCCCTTGTCACGTACCAGTCACGTGATCCTAATTAAAAAATATTCATTGGTATGAGAACCCTAGAAGTCGGCGTGATAGACGTTGTCCTTAGCCTTGACACCAACGTGGAATATTGGAAGTAATTGCGAATTGTTGATTTCTATAGCGGTTGTTTTTGTCGGTATGGCTCATTTTCTATATTTAACCTTATTCCATGGAATTATAGAACAACAATAAAAATTAATTGGCGCTACGGGGCGACTTCACTGATTCCAGTGGCACATTTACTTCTTCAGCTGGAGGAAAACCCGGAAGAACCTGCAGCACCACATCATCTGAAGATCTTGATCTGCCAATATCCTCTCTCATCAAACAAACTGTAGGGTGTCTCCGGAGGCTCCAATTAATTCAATACATTGCAAGAACACTTCGTGACACGACAATGTCAAACTTGAACCAGTCCATTGCGTCTTTGATCAAGGCGTAATAATGACCAAATTCAACGCCAGAACCACAGTGAACAGTGACTGCATGATTGCAGATTGCTAGATTGAAGTGTTCATCGATTTCGAACCTTCGTAAGGGTTTGGTGCTCACGTCAGAGGTTGAGTCATGTTTGAAGATCATCAGGAGAATATCTTTTGATTTGGGGAAGAATTGATGTTTCATAAAAAGGTGTGTGTGTGTGTTTGTGTAAGAGTAAGAGAGACACGTGTGAGGTTTGAACGATTTTACGTACGTTTCAACCGTTTTGCGTGCGTTTCGACTTTTTTGCGTGTGTTTAGACCGTTTTGCGTGCGTGTTAATGTGTACGAGGTATGGTAGAATACATGATTATAGAACAAAATCGGCGACCATGTAACGAACATAGGGTGGAGTATACAGGGTGCGATCAACGAACGATCCCTCAATGTGTACAAGGTGCCTCAAATTACATCATTGAAGAGAAAAACATTGCGTCGAAGTGTACAGGGTATGTCAAAATATACTATTAAAGAAAAAACATGACAGTTCAACGAAACTGTAACATTTCATCGTGTACAAGATGTCTCGAAATATATCATTGAAGTGAAAACATGACGTCGAAGTGTTCAGGGTGCGTCAAAATACATCATTTGAGAAAAAAAAATTACAGCTCAACGAAGCTGTTACCTTTCAACTTACAATTTCTCAATTTGTACAGGGTGTCTCAAAATATATCATTTGAAAAAAACATGTTGGTTTAACGAGAGTGTTGCGTTTCAACGTGCGATCCAAATGAGAAACGTATATATCTATTCAAAATTGTCGGGGAGTTACGTGTTGTGGAGTTAACGGTCGAAGGTGGGGACAATGGGGGAGCGATTTATTCGAAAATGACATTTCAAAATACGATATTTTGCGAGCGTTTCGTCCGTTTTGCGTGTGTTTATTTGTTATCGTTTCATCGTCATTGTTGTAGCCCTTTTCTTCTCATATTTCGGAATTCATAGGAGAAGCATATGTGAAGTTGTAGAGATCTGGAAAAAAAATATGGAAATTTGATTATCCACCTTTGACATATCTTTACGTTTCATGAAATATAAAAACGTTCGGTAATGAGAGAATCATCGTATACTAGAACTCATAATATATTTGGATTCCTTATGGTAAGAAGGTTTCGAATCCGTTAACGACATAATAACACGTTTTCGGTGGATTTATCAATTCATCACTTCGTGTCATTACATTTGGAAACTGAGTTTCAGTTCGGAGAAATAATAGCCCACACATGCTGGAAATTTTGTCATAGTGCAGGTTTTTCGTTAAATTTTGTGGTCATCAACC